GGTAAATATTTAGAGACGATCGAAGTCACGCACCCTGAGATATGAGCCGTCTGCAAGCCAAAGTATTGAAATGTGAGAAAGCTGAATACTTTTACCCAGACCTAGTACCGACATGTTACACTGTACAACTGTAATGTTTGAGCCCGGAGGTCCCGACCTCCCAGCGACACGTTGGCCAGAAGTACTGACGTGATGGGCTCCAAACGTCGAGCACAGAGCTATATGTATCACCTGCCACGCGGTTGTTAACAGCCCGACTGGCTGATTACTCGTACACCGTATGGTAGCTTCGACACCTAGCACGAAAGGAGACATACACCAGATTCTCACGCGTTTTGTTGCAAATGCGATTGGCTAATGTTCCGGGTGGGCTGAGGACACAACTACGTATGGAAAACGTGTGCATGACAATTATTCGAAACAGTACTTATGCCTAATGCTCGCAAAGCTCGTGACGCCAAAAGTTCTTGTTGGCAAAAGTACTTATGGATAAACACTATGCGGTAAATGTTCGTCGAGAAAAGTTCGTAACGGAAGTGGTCGTTCGCACAAAGTACGTATAGAAAAGGATCGCAAGCAATTGTTTGTACTCAAATGCTCGGGCGCCAATGAATGAAAGTCAAAAGAGGGAGGCACCACCAACTTTTGATAGGGCGACAAGATCGTAAGCCATCACAACACTTGGATCAAACATGGATAAGAAGTCATGCGTTTTATAACTGGTGTTCTCGTAAATAGCATTGCTATGGAAACTCTTCATGTGCCATGCGTTGCACCACCGTGAAGCGTAGTGGCGTGGGAGCTGGGGATAGAGGCAGGGTCTCAGACCCACATCTTTCCGCAAATTTAGCATTGGCCCAGCGGGTGTTGACTGGAGAAAAATAATCTCAACGGCTGTCATCCCATTCACTTTCCAACATGGAGGGACGTCCGTAGTCTCATGACGGCGGTTTTTTCTTCACAGATTCGTAGTTTCTTCTGGGCATGGCGTATATTATCATCTAGACCAATTGACCACATAACGTATCACTGTATAAATGTGTAGACGTATAGTGGAAAAAGCTTCGTAGGGTGATATTTAATGCACATATACCCCGCAGCCATGAGAGAGCTTGGGCGCCCGATTCCAATGCTTTTACTTGGGTTATGGATACAAATAATAACAGAGTAAATCTGGCCATTTGTTACGGAGATATTTGTTTGCTTTTTACTTTGTTTGTTTATCTGCATTTGTTACCAAAAAAACCAAACGACCCACTGCTTAAGGATTGCAGAGTTCACATGCTCCCTCTAGGTCTGCAACACCACCTTTCATGGCACGGCTCAAAGCGCAGATAAACGTTCTCTGGCGTGGTGCGTTCAGACTGGCGATGCCGCTTGCGGCATGAGCCTGGATCCTCCAAGCACCTTCGCCTGGATCCACTCGATCCAGGCGAATGTGGTCCGCTCGATCCAGGCGAATCGAGAGTTGCACCTAGCACACCGCTGCTGCGTTGATCCTCTTCTGCATCATCATTAAACGAAGCAAGTTTTCAGCCGCTGTTGCGCGCTGAAACTGCATCCAGCTGTGGCTGACCTGGCGGACAGGGTCATGAAAAGGCCATCAAGTTTGAAGACTTCAGGGATGGTTTCCACCGCGTTGTGCCCCACACTGCGGAGAACGAACCCGGTGGCTAAATCTGACTCAACGGCAAGGGGAGGGGGCAGTTGGTCCCTCGCCTCGCTGGTAGCGCTGCCCCTGGGCACCTCCGTGGAGTTGGCATACGCAGCTTCTACGTGACAGGGAATAGAAATGTTACAAGCTTGAAAAAGGTGAAGAAGTGAATGAAAGGGGGACTTTTCAGGTTGCATGAATAACATGCTTGTACATAATAGAGTTAAAACGAAACACATCTGATATCCGTGCCGATAGCTCACTTAGCTAGAGCGTCTGCCTTCCCATCCACCCACCCGTGGCGGGGTGGGTTCGAGCCGCTTTAGGCGTTCGCCATTTGTCCTTGACAGACATTGTTTGCGGCCGATGGCAGCGACCGTGCTAAAGGTCAGGTGACACCAAAGAGCATGACCGACCGTGCGTGCCTTGCGACGCGTTAGTCTTTCGCCACCAACCTGCTGTTGACCTGAACTTGCACGATCGGTGGCGGGGTGCTCACACAACAAACACTGCTTAGTGCCAGCTCAAACATCTGGGTGGGGTGGGGGGGGGGGGGGGGAGGGCGTACTACATCTATTCATTTGGGAGAGGAGGGGATAGCGGATGACAGTGAACGATGACGACTTCATAGGTCACGTCAGGCTTTATGACTAGCCTAACTTTTCATATAATGACCTTAGCGGACTGAGATGACCAGTAACTAAGCTCAAATCAATTGGGGCTTTGCAAGATGACCCTAGAATGCAGGGGACTGGACATAAACAACATGTCTACTGCAGATCACCCCACCCCCCTAGTTTGCTGTGCTCTCCGTTATCTGTCACCCTGACGACGTCTCTGTCAACGACTTGACCTGTCACCCCTGAGCAGGCCAAGGACGCCAGTTGAAGGACGCGACGAGCCAGCTCGCTTGTGAGATGCGGGAGGGGGACGCGTCGGTGACACCCAATCTACGGTTCCTTATGTATAATAAACCGGATTCCAGAAAGGCTGATGCATCAGCTGGACCCACTTTGGTACAACCCTTTGGTCAAGACCCTGTTTGCACCCGGCTAAACATCGCCAACGAGCATCATTGTTTAACCCTACACTGGATAGAGGCTGGGTAGCACTCACTGAAATGAATGCCCTAGATCATCCCTCCAAACAAAATTTCAGCGAAATTTAAGAGCTGCCGGCTCGTTATTTCGTACCCTGGTGGTCAATCTGGCCCTGGAACACTCCCCATAGGAGCATCGTCTACCATCCCGAAGCCAAGTCTCTCTAGGCACCGCCAGATCATTCTAATCATTCTCGGAAAGTGGAGTGCACCCGGGGCCACCCGCACACATGCCCCTGCTGTTCACGAACCTCTACGTACGCGTTTTTGTCAAACCAACTTCGTCAGTTTTGAGTATTTATGATCGCGCAATTGTTTACAACCATTGCGTACGCGTAGTTAATGTGTGCGTACTTTTGTTAATGCGTGCGTTATCCGGCCTTTACTTTAATTGATTTACTCTTGTCTTGAAACCGCTCCGAATGCTAAAAGCGCTTTGAGCCATTTAAACCCAAAGCTTACGGCGCAAAACCGGGACCGGGACTAGGCTCAGCCCCGCCCCGAAACAACCGAAACCCTCTTAAGCCCAACACCAGGGGTGCAGTTTTTCATTCAGCTGGGAGGGGGGGGGGGGGCGGTCTTCAGACCCTCAACTTAGAGAAGAAAGTGGACCACAATTTTTCTTTGTCCAGACCACTGCAACTCATTTTGTGAAACTATGACCCTGCCCAGCACTCTTGTAGCTACTCCGGAGAAGCCACGGTACGAGTGCCCCAGAAGCCACGTCAGAACTCCGGACACCGCCTGCCTGAACGCCTGAACACAGCCCTGACCGCCGCCTGCCACTTGCCACGGCTGTTGTTGCCACCTGGCGGTGGCGACGCGAATTGCGCAACAAGCTGTCCTGAGCCCCTCATGACACCGTGACATAGACATCTCTGCAGCAAGTGGGAATCAGGTATCGGCAGATAGGGCGGATCGGACGGTAAATTTTTTAAATGCCAAATGGAGCAGGGGCGTAGTCTTGCAAAATGAGTTGGGGTGGGGGGGGGGGGGGCTAAACAATGAAATATAATACCCAGCCTGCCCCCTTAGACATATCAACAAGCAGTTTTCTCTCCCAAATTTATCCCCCTTTCCCAAAGTCGAGAAACCTAAGCCCAAGTTGGGGGAGGGGATGACACCCCCAGCTGTAAATAGGAAAAGGCTATGAAACCTAAGATGGCTGTAAGCAAAAACGCAAAATTTGTCAAAATTTCCTATTGAGTTGTCAAATTTGTCATTGCAAGTTTTTTATTTGACCAAGGATCACCGTTTGCACACGTGCCGAAGGTAGCTAGGTATTACGGATCGAATGACGAAGGTTTTCCGGTCATTGGAACGATAGGTTCTTATGTCGGAGTTGCTCGGTTATGGAATTGATGCCATTTCCCACGGGTGTCGATTTTTTTTGGGGGGGCCCTGGCCCCCAATGTTGGCCTACCCCCCCCCCCCATTGTTTTTGGCTGGAATGCTACAAAAAAACGCTGGTAAAAGATGATCACAACACAGAGACTATCTTTGTTCTTTCTGCGCAGTGGCGTCTTGTACCACTCTCATAACTAAAAGTCATGGTTGCTCTCACCACAAGATACGGATCCTAACAGTTGAGGGTATCAACGATGCAACAAACTTCACATACTAAGCGCCATAAGGCACGCAATGGTTTGTGAGGTTAAGGTGAGAAACTCTGGAACACGGGGCGACCTAAGTCCTTTGTGATTAACCAAGCCCACGTTCCCCACAACCGAAATGCGTACCGCTTTCCATGACCACCATGGAAGAGCGCCATCGGCGCTCTAAGGTGGCCTCTCAAGGGGCGCGTTCACGTGCCGACCAGAGGGGACGCGTGCGTCCAGTGCCTGCTCCATGGATGCAACCTTGCATGACTTCTATACTGCTTGAAACAAAGATTGCGTTTAATCAAAATGAAGTGGGCTAAATCCGGTGAGAAAAAAGTGGGTGGGAAGGGGGGGGTAGGTTGTCTGGCCTTTGATTCGACCCCCAATAATTTACAAAAAATGACACCTTGCGGAAAAAAATTAGCACCATGATAACCATGTTTCTTTTTGCATACTGATTTAAGCATGACAATTGATTTGTGACTGTTTTAAAGCGATTGAATAAACAGTTATTCACCACGGTTATGTTTGCTAAGTATGTCAGCATTTTAGTCCCCTCCTCTCAGCTGGCTTTATCATCACCTTGATCGTCGCCAACACCGCCTGTGTGGTTTGTCCGCTGTTGGGGTGTTGGCCGCGGCCGCCGGTTTGGGATGATAAGTATTTGTATACACTGCCTGTGCATTTTCACAACCATTTAAATTACCCCTTGTTGCACGGGGAGTCATTTGATACCCTATTCGTGGAAGCTTTCGGGTGGAGTTCTGCGTGTGCAATGGTTAGGATGAGCCGGTGACAAGCAAAGTTGTGACAAAAACCAAGATCATCACGGATTTTCCGAGATCTACTGGACAAGTTTGCAATAATGAATTGCCAGCTATGCCCGGTGGTTGTGATCCTGCTGCTCGGTTCAGGTAATATACGTGCTGATCGGTTTGTAATACGGCTATGGTATGTTCACCCATTTACGCGTGCATTATCATGACCTTGGTTAATCTGGGCTTAATGAAATGTTTTATAATTGTTTGAAATGGGCAACAATGCCAACAGGTTCCAGGATAAGAATACAGCTAGGAGAAGGATCATGGCCAGCATGTGCATTTGGATATCAGTTGTATGGCCAAGCCATATAAATGCAAGATTTCAGGAATGCCTGAAAGTGAAAGATCAAGAATGGTTGTCTTGTGCCATAATCCATGTGGCATGTGATCATTTTGACAGTAGTTTGTCACAAGTGTTATTGTAAGCAACAGCCATCTAACACTTCCATGCCTGTCTGCCAGTGCCAGAATAGTTTCCCTCATACACCAAGCCTTTTCCTTCATACACCAAGTTTCTAGTTTCAGTTTCTAAAAACAATCCTTCACAACTAAACTTTGCTGTCAGCAGCATAACCATGCTTAACTCAAATACACCAAACAATGCATGACATCCAGAACATGTCCGCCCCGGCGTGATGTTTGAAGGTGATTTCAGGCAAAAATGCTCCAAGATCATTTATAAGAAGCAAATGATGTACAAATTTATCATGATTTCACATGGCCTGAGTTTGGTGCATGTAAATGCGAGGATCATTGCACTGGTGTCATGTGGGCATCCAGCACAGGGAATTGGTTTTTAGCCAACTGGAACTCGCACAAACTTTTCTAGGTGTTTGGCACTAAAAATAATCAAAGCTTGCATGCAAATGGATGTAAAAGTGAAGGTGGAGAACCATAAGTTGTGGATGATCTCCATGCTCATGGCTCATGGCTCTCATGTTCATGACATTTTTTCCCTTGAATGTCTTTGCCAACTGATTCCTTGGTTGCAAAGTTTCCGTATCCTAGGGTCATTACTATCGCAACTTATTTTGTTGAAACATATTTGTGTATCGCTAGAAAAGACACCATTTAAGGATGCTCTCAATGACTCCTGCATGGTGTATTCTCCCTCCTACCCCATGCTTGTCTGTATAAGCCCATCATTACTGTTTAACCATGTGATGTTCCACCACAGCATCTGGAAATCGGATTTGGGAGACAATTTACCAGGATCTGGATGCCACATACAGCTGCTTCACTATCACCAATGCCACACATGAGTTTGGATGCAGAGGTGAGCTGGAAGTGGACTTTGCAGCAGCTCTGCAGAGACCATTTGTGTGTTATGAGCCAGGCATGGGTATCACAAAAATGACTGGCAGTGTGTTTGCTCATTGCATTAAGATAGGGCAAGTGATAGGCATCCTGGGATGTCAATGATTTGTTCTGGATCAGCCTATTTCAAGTGCCAGATGAATGTTGTAGTTTTGGTTTCTTGGCCTCACATCATTAATTGCTTTACAATTCTGTGGGACAGTTGTGTTTGAGAAATCTGCTAGTGAGCACAGTCTGTCCTGACATGCTATCTTATGTGGCAAACTAAGGGAAATCCTTGTGCACATATTCAAACCCAGGTGTGCATGCACCCGGCTTGTGCGATGAATATCGTGGACTAGCGGCGATGGACGGTGGCCTAATGGGCCAGCTTTGGCCGCTGGCCGCCGGCGGCGCCACTGGGCAATGGTCGCTGGCACAGACGGCTCTGACGTCGGCATCCTCCCGCCACCAGCCGACTTCTCCGGCAACGTGGGCCTGCTGCGCGTGGCGAATACGTCGGCGGCGCTGGATCAGCTGCTGGCGTCGGACAATAAGTTGTCATATGTGGTGGTGTTGCCTCGGTCGCAGTTCAGCGTGGCCACCCTGCGCCAGCTGGAGGCCATGACGGCCGATCCGGACAGAGGTCAGTGGCTGGCGGCGGCGCGCCGGCAGGGCTCTCACAGCCCGGCGGCCCGGCTGAAGAGCGTTGGCCGTGTGTTAAGCCATGCTGGGTGTCGCCATGTGCTATTTTTGGTGGGGAAGGGGTAATCCGTTGACTTGCGGCCTGCTTGGCGCCCTCCTCGCGCATCGCGAGGAGCGATGCGCGAGGAGGATTGATGTAATTTATCGCGAGCGTCTGCGCATCGCTGCGGCTCGCCGCGCGCTCTGACGTCACGCGTATCCGGCAGGTGACGTCAAGGGTGTGCTGCTGACGCTGCCCGACGGCAGCTGGCAGCCGGACACCTTCCAGTTCTCCGAGGACGACGTCTGGCCCAACCGCGTCTCCAGTGAGTGTGTCTGGGGAGAAGTACGCCAACCGCTACGACGCTGGGTCGCTTGGGGCGAGGTACATCCGCTCGCCGGCAGGAGATGCGTTCATTAAGCTCATTAAACTGTTTCATTTAACTCGTCTCTGGCTTCGGTCGCGTATTTTTGCTGTCTGAGCTTTTTCTGGCAAAAATTTATAACTGACATATAGCGCCAAAGTGTATTACCCTTGGCAGTGCGTTTCCTGCTGAAGTCCAGAGTTTTGCCGTGGATCTTAAATATAGTGCTGGCGTTTTGTAAGGGTTCATACATCAGCGGAAATTAGCACGCAAGCCATTCCTACTATGATCCTGCCGCATAAACGCTTTGCGATCGATTTAACGTGTGTGGAGATGCCAGTTTGAACGTTTGTGGAGGTGCCGTGGCTTAAGGCCCGATGCGGGTTGTTTAGGATAAGCATGCCCTCTTTACTTTCCTCATTAAGGAAAGATCAGGGTATTCGTCGCGTATTTCGAGTTACGGTAACCCGACTACTGATTACCGTCTACTGACTATTGAAATATCGGCTAGGATGGTAACTGTGCACATAGTGGCACCATGGTGTCTTTGAGAAGAAGTGACAACGAGAGAAGCATTTGCGTTGCTGCTTTCGGCAAGTGTTCGCAAGCCATTAATGGGTGATATGGCATGGACTTTCTCCAACTAAGCCAGTGGATGATATGACATGGTCCGTCTCAGGCAAATCATACGGGACTCGCTAGGATTCTTGCTCTTAATGTGGATAACACTAAATGGAGAAAATTGACAGGCAGAACGGGCTATGTGGATTATCGTTAGTGCCATGTGTCAGATTGCTGTAGTTTATGGCGTATCGCTTCGCCTACCTCACCGCAACATGCCTTTAGCCGAGAAAGTGCGGTCGCGAGGTACGGCCTCCACCCGGCCTCGCCAACTTTGGCGTCAGTGATGGGTATCCATGACAACCAGTGCTGGCAAGTGTTGACCAATTAGAAGGGAATCTCCAGAGTCACGTCGAAAGCCTTAACAAACGGAGGCCAGGAGGTGTGCTGGGATTACCGCCTGGCGGCTGCCGCGCTGTCATACAGTAATCAGCAAGCGGCCCACACGAGCGTGTACACAATTAAAGAAGTAAGGGGACGCGTAGCGCGGGATGCATTGACCCGTTGCGATTAACACGGATGGCCTCCGCTGTGGTATTTCAGTATGCAACGATCCATGTGCGCTTTTCAGCACCCTGCGCTGTAAGGCGCACATGGATTCCGATGTTTGTGTCAACTGGCAGTTCCCCGCGTGTGGGGACCCCGCATTCACCGTCGCTCGAGCCTTTCGGAATGTTCTCAATGGCTTGGACTTCGTCTACCTTCTTTTTCTTACATTCACGAAAAATGTCTAAGTTAAAAATGTCTCCGTGCTAAATGCAACAATACACCCTTTTGGCGCGCGCTGTGACGGACACCGGTATCTGTCGGACGTAATTTTATGTCGTGGATCGCATTTTAGGTTGATCCTGTCGTACGTGCAAATTGCACGGCAATCCATGCAGCTGTCCGTGCTGTGCGTCTGGCGAAACGAACACGAACAGTCAGACAGTCAGATAGGCAGACGTATGGTCGGAAATTCATGAATTAGATGAGAGCTTCTTTCACAAGATAAGCATGGACCAGTTATACGAAAGTTCCAGGACATCATGGCAGAGGTGGACTGATGTTAGGCGTTCATGCGGGAGATAATGCGGCTGGAATATTAGTTGGCTTAGGGTCTGCCGGAGCCCGGAAATTTTATTCGACGAGTTGAAGACGTGTGGAAGACTTAACGTTTTATGGTGGCTGGTTCGGGTATTGGGGAAAAGGCTGGGTGGAAATGAGTCACAATGAGCATGGGCACAACATGACCCCAGCAGTCGACGCGCCTAAGCGCCAATCGTCAGGCATTGTAATCATCAGACATTGTAATCCGGATAATCATTGACATCTGGGTGTAGTGTTTGACGCAGGTTCTGAAAATGGTGATGCTATTGGCTTCCCGGTCTGTCGTTGGTCCGCCTTAAGCCAAGATAGTGTTGAGGTCGCTGGGTGATGTATGTGCGACCCGCTCGCCTGCACCATAACATCTGGTGGCACGTGTCCACCCGCTCTGGTTGACGTATGATTTGACGTAGGGATCAACCAATCGTGATCGATCCGAACGCCACCGGGCGGATCCATGGTTTACCCATGGCAGTCTGGTCACATGGATCTAGATCTTTGGCGGTAGGATTGCGCTCGTTTCTCTCCTTGGGCAAAAGTTAGCTCTTGTCGTTGCGAAGGCAGGACGCTGTGGTCTGGATTTGTTTCCAAACCGCGGCCTTCAACCTTTTCGCCACCTGAAGCCCGACGTTTCCCGTGTCGATCAAATGGAAAGATGGAATAGCGTCGACGTTGCGGAATGGAAGCAATGCACCACTCGACCCAGCAACCTGCATTTGCGTGCCTTGACAGATTACAGCACAATCCTCAATGATTTGCGCTAGATGTTGCTGGCAATGTAATGATGGTGGCCTGGTAGGATCAGCAGCTGCAAAGACATAAGCCTTTCAAAGAACAGTACTGAACGGGCCGTGCTGTGGCGCTGGAGCTAGTTTTGTGGCTAGTCGACGTCAAATGGATTACGTGTTTTTATTTATAAGGACTAGGTTAATGCCAGAAAGAGATGGATCAAGGCGCTCGATGCCCGATGGAATCAACATTTTCGTCTGGAAATAACGTAATCCGCACGAAACAGCGTGCCAAACTTAGCGATGGTACCACCGTATACTCTGCAGAATCGTAGAGACTGCGTCGGTTCCAGAAATAGGTATATCAAGGTTGTAGAAGTCCATTGGGTGTAAATGGCTTCATTCTCATGAAATGCCGTTCCAAAATCCGCAGTGGTGCCATTGCGTACTTACCTGACGTAATGTCATTCATCTGTGGGATGCCAAATCATCTACCGTGTTCATCACCTCGTGTGCGAGAATAAGAGTTGCTTCTGATGCTGTTTAACATTGAATTGTTGGGTATGGAAAATGTCCAAGCTGCCCTTAGTTGAATGACTAAGTTAATTGGTTGGTAATGTAGTACTATGACATTTTGTTATTTGCATTTATGAAGAACTCAAATTTTGAAAACTGCTGAACTATCAACAAATTTGGAAAACTGCCTTCATTCCGGCGTTATTATTACGATAGCGGATTTCATGACAGTGCGTTGGCCTTAGTGCTCCGACTCATTTTTCAGCTGCGATAGATGCGCAACACTGCATTCGTGGTCCGGAAGCGGACCGGTTTGATCTCTCTGAGACCTGCCCGCCCTGCAGCTTCGGTGGCAATTACCGCGCTTACTTTATTTTTTATTGCGGTCGTTGCCTTGATGTTTTAACCCCGAAGTGTTAAGATGCTTGATCAGTTATGACATTGTAGGAGACGATTCAAACCTGACCACGCCCACGTCTTTATTGCCTCACGCTCACATCCAAACCGTGGCCCCTCACCGTCGCCCACAGCCGGCGCCGGACCACCGACACATAGCGGCCATCCGACCCCGGCCTTGGCCAGAGGCGCCGTCGCGACCGCGCGGTGGTACGCTCCAGCCCCCTCCCCTCCCCTAGGGGAACTCCTGTACAGGCATTCCACAGGCCCAGTCGTGATTTGCACCAACCGCCAAGCTACAGACTAGAAAGGAGCCATGAACGGCGTGGGACCGGCCAGGCATTACCGGGTGGATATGCCAGTCGTCACGTAGCTGATGCCAAAAGCTACGTTGGCGAAGCCGGAAACCTTCGGTAAACGGTATCAGCAACTCTCACATTTGCCAGTCCAGTGCCATGCAGCGTGCAGTTGCCGCGTGATGTGCTCTCCGGTGAAATGGGCTGCATTGAGTGGCCGTTGTTGCGAGCAAGATCACAGCCCGGGGGAATCTCCCGCGAACTTTGGTTACACAAATTCAATTTGAGCGGCCCGGCGCATCTGCCACGCCCTCACGCCCTGTCACGCCGACACTGAAGTCTTTACAATTGTTGGTCGCACGGAGTGTGCGTCTGAGCCCTGATCCCGCTGTCCTGCTGCGAACGCCCGGATCAACGACGGCGCTGCGAGAGATTAATGTGCCGCAATGTTCGGCTTGGTCCGTCCCGATCTTTGACATTCGGCACGTCCTCTGCTACCGGCCGCGGGTCATCCCAGTCACCAGTAAATGGCGAGCGCCTAAAGCGACTGAAGCACACCCCGCTGCTGGTTGGCGACCCGGGAGGCAGGCACTCTAACCAACTGAGCCATGGGGACGCGCTAGGTTCTGTGTCCAGAGCATCTGATCATCTTATGCATCGTATCTCTGTTCCACACTGTGCGAGTCAGCAAATTATCCGTCGTTCATCGAGTAGCCCAGGAAGATGATGTGGATGGATACGGGATAATCCGCCGATGCCTTGCTTGTCCTGATGGTTGATAAATGGCTTGCATAACGAGTATATCAAAGTTCCTCTCTCTGCCCCACCCAACACAACACTCACACCGACACGCATTACGATTAACGCCATTGGACAAAAAAGGAAATTCACATATTTTCGAAACCCGCCATGTTGCCTGGCCATTTTCTAGCTCATTTACAGCCCACGCCACACGTGAGTTAGGTCATCCAGCAGGCGGCCACCGCGGAAGCTTTGTAGCCCAATGTGATCCGATTCCTGTGCATCCCTTCCGGAGATAGCCTCTTGCGTGGAGAAACTGCTCCCCCCCCCCCCACCCGTGATCGCGGGTATTTGAGGTATCTCAGGTCCCATTTTGCGATCGTTTTTTTGTCGTTGCCGTCGGCTTTCCGATACAGTGGTGCTGGTTCATAGTTATTGGCTAATTGTCTGAACAAGAAATGCCCTATGCAGTACCAAAAGGCAAAAGGAGCAAGTGACAGAAGTGTGTGACTGTGACTTTGTGACAAAAGACACAAGGGAGGAAGTCATTCCACGGACTATATCCGCTCTACCCAGCATATTTCTGGCTAAACGACTTACGTTTGAAAGCGCTGTTTTGTTCGCAGGTGGCCACGGCGCCATGATTTGCCCAGCATCTTTACTCAGATTTCTAATACCTTTTTATTCATAATTTTTAACACGGATTGCCTCCACAGTGGTATTTCGGCATATAACGATCCATGTGCGCCTTGCAGCACTGTGAGCTTGCACCAGTTTTGAACATCCATGGTGTGCACCACTTGACATGAGCTTGTCGCGGTTCGCTGGCTGTCTCTCCGCATCTCTGTCTCCTGTTCGCTGGCTGTCTCTCGCCCCATCCTCCGTGGGTCCGTCGCTCCGTCGCTCCGTCCTCCGTGGGTCCCGCGGGTCATATGAACACCAGACAGCCGCCGGGCACCGTGATTGTGCCCTGGGAGCAGGTATTGTCGCTGAACACTGTAACAGCAGCGACTGTCGCCCTGTCCGGAGCGACAGGGCGACGGCTCATGAGCACAACCAGGCCACACCACCTTGGAGCCAGCTGGGCCACCGGCGCCGTCAACGCCGCCCCACGTGGTACCGGAAACAGTGGTGTGCGGCCGCAGGATGGAGATGACGTTCAGCTGGCCGCCGCCAGGGGCGCTGCTGCTCTCCCGGGCCACGTCCGGAGCAGTCGCCACGTTGATGTTGGCGTAGTAGTTGGGCGCCGTGACCAGGTGAGGTGCCGCAGGCGGCGGCATCCCGTACGTCAGGCCCAACACCTGGAACAGGAAAACGACGCCGTCAGGTGCCAGAGTCATGAACATAGTGCTCCGTCATTGTGCGCAGCGCGGCGAGCAGCAGGGAATCAGCTCTGAAGCCTTGTTATGGACGTGGTTATTGGCGCAAGCTAGCCCAAGCCACCGATCTGTCGTAAACCCTTCGTCAACACGGCTGAATGATGGGTCGGACTTTGGCGCCACCGCGTCACCTGAGGCTATCCCCCCCCCCCCCCCACCCGAGAGCCGGCTGACCGCTCCAGCTCCACTGGACCAGCCGGCTCCGCGTCTCTTGCTATCTCAGCTCCAGTGGAACAGCCGGCCTCCGCGTCTGTTGCCATCTCAGCTCCACTGGACCAGCCGGCCTCCGCGTCTGTTGCCATCTCAGCTCCACTGGACCAGCCGGCCTCCGCGTCTCTTGCTATCTCAGTGGTGGTCAGCCTCACCCCGACGCCTCGCCGATGCGGTACAGAGGCTGCGGACTGCACCAGCGGCTTAGAGAGCATTTGATTCATGATATCACTGGTGTAAAGGCAACTATAACTTAATTTTCAAGCTTTAGCTTCATGCAGACTAGACCCCTTATGGTCTGGGGAGAGGTTACGGGCGTCAATGAAACGCATGATGAATTCATCGATAAATTGATCGATGAATTAATCGATGCATTCACGTATGGACACCGGGACCACCGGGGAAAATGATCGAGTGCTCGCGAAGAAAAGGGATGTGGGGCGGTTGGCCGTATATCCACATTTGCATCGTGTAAACCAAAATGACTTGGCGGTAGGTAAATGGCCCGTCGTGTAAAATGGCAGTGAGCTCGGGCGGCCAAATTGCAACGACGCTAACAGTGTGTGAGATATCACAGCAAAACGGGAGGAGTTATTGCCCGACCCGTAGGAATGTCTCGCTGCATTGCCAAGGAAGCGATGTCAACGTTTCGGGCACAGTCTAGCTTACCTTCGTAAATATCAACCAGCCTCCCATGGCTCCGATGTAAACAATGGTCATTTTTTCAAGGCCAACTGACCAAGCGGCCATGTCTCACGCGATGTTGGATTCTCCCGAGATCACAGTGGCCGCAGTCACGCTTGTACCAGAGTACGTCCCCACCGCGCTGGTGACGTTCCGACCGAAGCGAGGCCCCGTGGCCGAAATCATTGCACAGTGCCCGAGCGCCTCACAAACGGGCACAGCTCACCGGCAGGAGAACACAGACGGTGCACACTGAGCTGATCATGGCGGCGGACTGGTGGGAGGTCGCGAACGGCTGCTTGGGCCTCCAGACGGCCGCGGTTGGCCGGAGATCCCACGGGGCGTTCCCGTGTGAGCAGATCATCGTGCCATAGCAGGTCTGTCGGCAAGCTTACGTTCGGTCCAAGGCCAGCCGGCTGGATGACCCCGAGGCATCGCAGACTTCAGTGCTGCCGGGCTGGAAAGTTTGACGGTGAAATTCACCGCAGCGTACACAACGAGGTTATAGCGTCTGCATGGGTGGTTCAGACATGTGTGAGGGTAACCGGGCAGAGGGTCAAAAGTCAGGAAGTCGAAGTCAGTTCGCAAAATGTCAAAAGAAAAAAGTCGAACAAGAAGACACCAAGAGGAATTGAATGCCAAGTTGAGCGGGCAAAAAGTCGGAGGGGATGAATGCCGAATAGATGAATTAGCAAGTCATTATTTCAAAGGGACAAAAACACGGATGAAAGTAAAACGACAAAGGTCAAATACAATAAGTCAGCTAAACAACGAGTCAATAGGGATAGAGGTCAGGGGAAGGCAGGTCAAGTAGGCAGAAGGCGAAAACCGAATGGTGGATCAGGAGGACCCGTTTTGTGTCGCGGCTTGCTGGATTGAGGCTCCCTTTATGAATTAGAAGGCCCATACTTCTTGGATTAGCAAGCCCTCTGTATAAATCAGCATACGCCCGGTCTGGATTAGGAGGTCCCTTTATGTATGAAGGAGCCTCCTGTTCCAAAATGCCTCCTTTCCGGACCAGGAGGCCTTGTGCTGGGATAAATTAGCACGTCACTGAATTGGAGGTCCTCTATTCATCCAGAGTTTTTCATCGGTCCAACTCGGGTAAGACCTGCATCCGTGGCATGTAGCCGTTCCTCACTCCCAACTTTACTCTTCAGACGCCGTCCACACCACGCGTACTCGGAAACATTGGGGCATGGATCCAGAATAGTGTCTGCCAGACTGTCTTACGCCGTCTGACTGAGAGTGTGTGTTTGAAATAGCTTGATCTCCTCATGTAGGCAAGGGACAGCCGTGGTTTTCGTTTTATTTATTTGCGTCACTGCACATCCGGCAGATTACAGCCGGCACACCGTTGGGCGCATCCCTCTCCAAAAGATGAAGTTGGTGTCGATGAGGTAGCCGAAGCATCCTGAGGCATACTTGGAAAGAACCGCGGCGTCTAAGTGGTCTGCTTGCGGAGCTCATGAAAAACCTCACAACTGACTTCAAACCAATCTTTGCTGAATGGTTGGAAAATATTGCTGTTTCGCAACAAACAACAAATTAAACCACTTTTAACGAAAACTCAAGTGCCTTTCACAAGTTAATTTTGTCTGAAAAAATGCCTACCTACCAAGGTAGCGCCTAAAAGCGTGAGTAGGTATCCTTTGTATACAATTGGTCATCGCGATCTGCTCCGGTTGGCCTCTATGATCTCCAAAAATGGCGTTTCCTTCGCTTTCCGAGACCCCGAAATGCTACAAGAATGGCAAATTACGATTTCTCCAAGATAGAGAAGTACAGTAGATAGAGCTGAAGGGAATATGGATAAGATGCAGTGGTAGGCGCTGTATGACCGCGCAGCTGAAGCGTCCTAAAGCCATAATTGCCACTGCGGATAGGTTGCGGTGTGGTTCCACGTGCCCTCTTCCCGCCCAAACACAGCAGGCCCGTTGGAAAATCACGCCCAAGAGCCTAGCCAAACTGCAAGTTTTTTCGAGGAGGCCGCCTGAGAATTTCTCCTCAAAATCCGTGAACGCACGCCCGTGAATAGTTTTTGTAGAGCTCTTGAGTTTTATAGAGCTCGAGGGTAGAGGAGGCCCGGTCCAGATGATTCAGGATGCATGACATGGCAAACACTTTATGACAACCCTTCGCCTTCCAAGCAGTCCACGAGGCTGCTAATTAGCTGGGGCCCCTCTGGCTGAGCGGAGGCGGGCTCTCCCCTCGAGACCCCCCGACCTCCCGCACGAGCAACTGACCAGGAATCCACCACTATGGGCGAAGACTCACCAGGCTCGAAGCGACCAATTTTTCAAGCATTATGATTTATGAATTGGCGCGCAAGTACATCAGAGAACCTCCCCGCCCACCACAATGTCATGCATGCTAGACACTCAGTGGCTTACATTTCAGCGTCATACATGTAGTGGCTCACAAGGATTGCAGGATTACCCCAGGTGGAGGGGCTTGGTGGTCTTAGGCCCCACGTCCAGTGAACGTGATAACGGTGCTCCTTTTCAGGTTTTTACCAACCGGACAAGAACCCGAAAGAATACAACTACTCCCTACACAACCCGTGGAACCCGGCCGGCTCAGGCATGTTTAAGCGGCACTGGAGCTTTCCCATCATCCTGCTGAAGAACGAGTCGCAGATCAGGGACGTGTTTGAGGTGAGTGGCTGCACGCGCCTCTGTGGCCAGCCCCCAGTGAGCCTCTGACTTTCTCTCGTTCCGGTCGGCCTTCGGTGAGCCTTTCACCTCGCTTTCGTCTGGTCAGCTCTCGGTGAGCCCCAGACGTCACTCTCATACGGTCAGCCCGCAGTGGGCCTCAGACCTCACCCTCATCCGGTCAGCCCTCAATGAGCCTCAGACCTCACCCTCATCCGGTCAGCCCTCAGTGAGCCTTAGACCTCGCCCTCATCCGGTCAGCCCTCAGTGAGCCTCTGACCTCGCCTTCGTCTGGTCAGCCCTCAGTGAGCGTCTTCAGTCTTCCCGTCGCGCTGGCGGCCGCATGCTACGGTGTGGGTCACTGAGCATACATTTGCTACTGCAAAACGGCAAGAGATGATGAGGTCCCGTTGAGGAATAACATTATGCGAGCAGAAAGTGAATTCATGTGTACGATTCAGTAATAGCTGAATCCACGACGGCTCACCAAAATTGTTCTAATTTCGAGACATTTACGGTGGCCTTGTCATCTTTTCAGGAAATAATTATTGAGCTGTCAGATGAAAACAGTCATATTGTGAATGTTGAATGGAAGAGGCGCACTATTTTTAAGAGGATTTTGACTCCCCCACCCCCAAATCTTCTAGCTTACAGCGGCCATAGATTTGGACATGCCGTCTGATGCACTTGAGAAAGCATAAACTTGACTTCTGAAAAAGCTGTAAATAAAGACAAAAACGAAATAGGTTTAGCTGTCATTTTCTGCTGCCTTATGTCATAGCCATTTTTAGCAGTCATCGCCAGAAGTCGCGGCTCGGTGGTGGACTGGATTGAGCGAGGAGGTGTGTCTGTGAGCTGTGTCCCGACCTGGGTCTCATCCTTGCTAACCGCACGGCTTAGGGTGTGGCGTCAATCTCAGTTGGTTTGCGACGCTTTGAGTGCGTCTTTGTAAAATTTTGACTTTTAGGGGATAAGTGTCTTATTTTTCCATTAAAAAAAGAAAATTAGCTCAAGGTCAGTCCGCAGCTTTGAAAAAGGCATTAGTTGCCAATGGTGGATTATGTGTGAAGTTGTTTAACAAACTAAGTGCACGATCTTGATAAATTAAAAAAAGAGAACACTTGAGCGTGGGGAGAGGAATATTGACTGAGAACAGTTGGATTTTGATATGAAATGTGCAAACCATCGTTTTTAATCATTTTATACTCAAAAGATATATATTCATACAAAAATGGGCTCGTGCTGATTATTCCCTCGTACCCTTGGGATTTTCTTGAGATTTACCATTGAAATTCTCTGGAAAAACAAAAGTTGAATTCCACTGATTGATTTTGAGAAAAAAGGTTTTGGCTTTATTTTAACAAATACCGTAAGCAACTTTCGAATGCATGTATAAACTCTACGCTTACAAGCTACCGAATGCAAGGCACACCTTTCGTAGCGAAAAGCTGGCTGCGAACTGCCAAAGTAAATTAATTATTCTTGTTTAGTTATACTTGTTTACACTTATATTTGTATACTTGTTTTTTTTTACTACTATACTTGTTTACACTGAAGAATGAGACGAATCATATGCGACACGACGCGCGGACGAACAGCGCATGAAACCTTAGCATGCCGTTTCATGTGCAGAATTTGCCGTTATTTTTTCATTGAAAGGTTTGTTGGCGGCTTCTCTGGACCTCACAAAACACGGGGGTCCGAAATCTCCGTCCACCCCCGCGGCCTGGTGGCGTTGCAGGGGTAGTGCAAAAAAGGCTACACATTGGCTCGACGCGCCAAATGAAAATACACTGCCCTTTGTAACATTTGGCGATTGCCATGAAAGGTGACGTTATAAGCAAATCTGCACATTTCGTGCGGATGGTAGCATGCTGCTCATCCAAAGAACGACACGGTGTTAAGGCGGTGCAATTATGCACTACCTCCCCACCCTTAGCTATATAGCGAATGAGGCAGTCAATGCTTATACGTCGGCAGACGGCGTTGCACTCTTTCTATTCTTCATCAGTAACCTAGCTGTTGCTCCGCTTCTGTGTCAGTAAAAGCCGCTCCATCGCCACTGACCCCCGTAACGTACCATAGACCACCGTCCCCGCTCCCGTAACGCTGACCTCCGCTCCAATGCCAATGACCTGTGACCTGCCCCGGTGTCATTAACCTGCGACTTGCCCCGGTGCCACGGACCTGTGACCTACCCCAATGCCGCTGGCCTGTGGTCTGCCCCAGTGTCGCTGACCTGTGACCTACCCCAGTGTCATTGATCTGTGAACTGCCCCCGTGTCGCTGACCTGTGACCTACCCAGTGTCGCTGACCTGTGAACTGCCCCAGTGTCATTGATCTGTGAACTGCCCCAGTGTCGCTGACCTGTGACCTACCCCAGTGTCATTGATCTGTGAACTGCCCCAGTGTCGCTGACCTGTGACCTACCCAGTGTCATTGATCTGTGAACTGCCCCGGTGTCACTGACCTGTGGTCTGCTCGAGTGTAGCGCGCGAGGCGTACACTAAAGACTAGTCGGTCACCTGCCAGCGCGCGTGGTGGCGCGTGGCATATATATATAATATATATATATATATATATATATAATATATATATATAATAATATATAGTATATTATGTGTGTGTGTGTATATATATAGATATATATATAATATATATACATATATATAATAATATATATATATATATATATATATATATATATATATATATATAATATATATATGCATATATTTGTATATGGTATCTGGTTATAACTGTGTGTGTTTAAGGTTTGTTTTTACTATGTTTATGGTGGGCAGTGTTGTTAGTATCCAAATGATAAATGAGCGATCGCTGTCGGTACGTCTATCTGTCCACTGACGGCAGATAAACCAAACTGGTCTCATAATGCCGTTATCGCTCTCCGTTGATATGTCTGCGGAGAGCTGCCCCGACCATATAAGATATATTGTGCAACCTGACAACAAAGCGTTGCTCGCTCTTTGTAATTCGTCCCTTTCTGGACGCGTTTCCCTGTATGTCAGTCTGGGTCGGCATCACCTTGATGCCGGCACCGATGTTTCACACCGGACCAGCACAACTAGCGTAACAGTGCTAGTTCCGGCCTCTCGGCCGCAGCCAGCATCTTGACAGCATGGGTTCTGAGGTGCAGATAATTGCGCTTGTGTCGCCCTGCACGGGGGTCCGGGTTGTCAGCTGATATAAACAACGGGGCAACCACTGCCACGTTTCTCTGGCGTCGCCGAAGATAGTGACGAGTGTGACACCAGTGCCACTGGCTTGTGACCTGCCCCAGTGTCACTGGTCATCTCCTGTTCCAGTGCCACTCGCGCTACAACGCGGCTGACGGGGTGGCCCCACTGCGCGGCCGAAATGCGCACCTTCATGTCGGCCGCCGGCAACACGGAGGTCTGCTGGCGTCGCACCCAAGACCAGTACATCAACACCAAGAATACCGTCTACTGCATGCCCATGGGCTCGGTCAACGTGTTCGGCACGTTGCTGCCCCGCGGCGGGCCGGCGCCGGCAGTCGCCAACGGCGCCACGCTGCTGCTGGCGGCGCGCGCTGACGGCGCCACCATGTGGGACGCGCTGGCGCCGGCCGCCGACTCTGCCGCCGTCGGCATGGTGGCGCTGGTGTCGGTGGCGCGTGCGCTCGCCCACATGCCGACCCCGCAGCAACCGCGTATGAACGTCATGTTCATGCTGTTTAGCGGGGTGAGTTGGCGGGGTGCCGTGGCGCAGGGGCGGTCTGCGGCGGCGGGCGGGGTGGCTGATTTGTCCTGCTGAACGGAGGTCCGAGCCGTGTCTTGATTGCGCTGCGCCTCGTGCATTGAGGCCGGCGGTGAGCGGTCTCAGTGGATCAGATTTCGTGGATTTGGGGTTTGCTGTGCAGTTTTGCCGTCTGCATGGCGATGGTTTTGATGAGTGCTGCCGCGTTGAGTGACAGAAAGGTTAACCGGTGGTGCTCATTGACCAGCCACGCTGTTATGCATCGGATTCTCAAGCTTTAAGAACGAATGACGTAACGTGGTTTTGGCAGCAACAGCTGAGCTGTGCCGGTTCTCAAGGGCCGTGCCCGCCTGGCCTGGCCACGGCTGACGTGAGCGTCAGCTCTTAGCCCCTGACCTGACCTGACCTGACCTGAATCACTGGACCTGACCTGACCTCCTGCCGTCCACAGGAGAGTTTCGACTACATCGGCTCGGACCGGTTCGTGTACGACATGGCACACGACAAGTTCCCGCCGCTGGCCGTGGCCGAGGAGGACGAGGCGGCCGGCTCCGTCACGCGGCCGCCGCTGCTGCACCTCGGCGACGTGGATACCTATCTGGAGCTGAGTCAGCTGGCGCGCGCGCGCCAGCTCTACCTGCACTCGACCCGGTATCGCGCGCCGCCGACGCCCAGGTCAACCAGAAGGTGCGCCGCGCCCAGCGGCGCAGGGCG